GCAGGACTTGTTCATTGCGATAATCACGTCTCATTCAGGTACGCTTCCACTTTTAGTTAATAAGTTTTTGATGATCCAACATGAACGATCTATATAATGGTAAAGATTATTATTTTCTCCAACAAGGGTTGGTTCTTCATTTTGACACCTCTAATGTGGTAGACTAAGGGTTCAATGTGGACTCGTAAATGTTGGATTTGTTTCCTTTATTCTTCATTTAGGTTAAAAAGAACCCAACATTCTGTTTGAGTCCCATTTTTTGTGAAAATAAGTTTTATAGTAGTGTTTTTGGAAAAAGTGTGATTAAAAAATAGGAAAAAACTTTGGATTTACGCAAAAGGAAAAAAAAAGTATTTCATTAAGAGAGTGTATTATTGAAAATAATTTTGGGAAGAAAATGTGTTTTAAAAGAATGAGGCTCAAATATGGACTAATACGTCTAAGATAAATGATGGATTAACTTTTCCAACTTATTTTTCAATTATCTTTTAAAAAATTTGGGGTTACTTTGTCACTTTATTAAAGAAACCCATGTTCATGTTTAGCTGTCATTTTATGAAACTTTTCAGTTAAGATGGATGATTCATTGAATATAAAAGTAGGAAATTTCAATTTTTATTTAAAAGTACCCGCTAATTACATTAATGTAATAATTGACAAAGACGAGAATAATGTTCTCCATTTCTATTTTCTATTGTTTAACAATAACTGAGCCTAAATTTTTAATCCAAATACAAACTAAGCCCCATATTGGTGTAAATTAAACCCAGATTTTTAGTAGATTTTAATAAAAGATGATGAATTGTAAGGTTAAAAAGTTGTGGGTCGAGTGAATTGTGTGGTTGAAATTTATAGTTGAATTTGACTTGAAATTTTTAGCAAATTTTAATGGCCACCAAAAAAGGACAAGTAAGTATTTTGCTATAAATCTACATTACAACTTATTCTGAAATTGTGTTCAAATACGATGGATGCTGTTGGGGATCTCGACTCTTTGTTCGTTTGGTTGGTTCAATTGACTCCTAATCCTTTACTCGTCTCATCTTCTACTGATTTTATGATTAGTTTCTTGGTGAAATTATCTTCTATATATTAAAAGTGGCTATGTAACAAAATTTCTTATTTTTAACGGAAAAACTAACGGAATTTGTTGTTTTAACGGACTATGTAACGAAATTTCTTGTTTTAAACAGGCAGCTGCACCTTCCTTAAGTATTTTTATTATAACTTTGTATTTCGATATCCAATTGAGGCGATTCAAAATGCGTTGGAAAGCTAACTCATATGGATACAACTTTAATTCAGACATCATTCTCCAATTAGATCACTTTCTATGCCAAAAATAGGTCTCAATATAACGGACTATGTAACAAAATTTCTTGTTTTAAACAAACAGCTGCACCTTCTTTCAATGTTTTTATAATAACT